GAAATTATCAACTGTCACACACGATAACCATTAATTGACCCTAACTTAGCAATGCGTATCAAACCAAGTGTTGTACAATACTTTTTACAGAAATAGTTTCGACATTTTATTCAGTAATAAGACCTTTTCTGGAGTTAATTATAAGGACGGATTATGCAAAAAACTGCGCGTGATGCCTAACAACTGTGAAATTCTTCAGTTAATTTCACAGAACTGTCCTTCCTAACCGACCGATGTAATATACTGAACGATACTTCTTGAGAAGTTTCCAGAAACATTTTACGAGTAGGTTTTTAATAATAATTACATTTTACGAACATTGTGTGTAAATTGTTCTTTCTATATTTTTCATTTAGTCACTATTTAATAATATTGTAGCAACACTGATTATTTTGAAACTAAGTGTATCATAACAATGAACAAACATTAATTGAGTTCAATGAACATGCGTGTTTGCCAGATTGTGAAAATGACGTCAGTACCTCGGACAACAGCGTCATGTTTTTATGTCAAATTCGACATTTCAAAACCAAGTCAGGAGAACATGAAAATATATAAACTATTAGAAACCAATTCAGAACTGATACCGTCACTTGAGACATGATGTTTCTGATGACATAATTTGGATTGAGGAAAAAATCTCAAAACGTACCTATTCATTACCCCTTTTCCAGTTCATTCCGCTTGATTCTGAAGTTTAGTTTATGTTCAACTCAACTCTGCAGTGTCTTGAAGATGAGTTAGTAAAAATCGAAACAAACAAAAACATTGTCAATTATATGACCGTTTCTTGTTGAGTAATGAACTCTAGTTTCGTCCTCCAACTAGGGAATGATCCATTACTCAACACCTTCGAGGCCAATCACAGATGAGCAAATTCATTACTTTACAGTTGTGGTTGAATTATTTTCATTTGCAGACTGGTGGAACTATAAAACTGATGAAGCTAGTGTAGCAAAACCGGGCATGGTCTCTTCAAAACGAAGTGAACCGTTTGAGTATCACGACCAAACCCTCCATGCCCCCTCCCGGGTTGAGTGCCCTGAGTTGAAATCTTCCCCACACGATAAATGTGTGCAGAACATCCCATCCCGTCCATCCACCCCCTTTCCTCCGGAGCGGTCCTCAACTTACTGATGGGCACTTCAGCAAGATTGAAATCTGACCTTTGGTCGAAAGTCAGCTTCTAGGTGCTTTTACTTTCTGATCTGTTGAATTGTTTTATTATGACTTTCCTAACTGAATTATAGCATGGGGTCCCCAAAAACTAACCGGAGACGAGTGCACGACCAAACCTGCACGTCGTCTTGATTTCAATCAGGTTGAAGCCTGGCTCATTTTTCTGTCGGTAAAACTTGGATATTAGAGTAATTTGGTTTATGTCCTGTTTCTATAGAATGTTGCGCTAATGCACATGATTTCTTATTGAGCTTCATATCACTTTCATATGAAGTTATTCTATCTTTAATAATTCTAGATGTTCCAATATAATCCAAGTTACAATTGTGTCAAGAAAAGTTTTAAATCACATTTGACTTTTTTGTAGTATTCGTTTTGTCTTTCAATTTGGTATTCAAATTCTTTATAGTTTTAATATTTTTTTGGTAGATTTTGATATTTTGTTCATTATGAAAAAGTTTTATGTTTAACTTTCTTTCGTCAATTTATATGTTCAATTTATTGTTTTTTACTCATTTTTACTGTGAGATTTGTAATGTTATTCATTGCCAAAAATAATCCACAACTCAATAAATTTTAGGCCCTAAAGAAGCTTTCCATTAGAAGCGAAAGCTTGACAAAGCACAGCAGAGTTTTGATTTTTCGACTAAGAGACTCCGTTAATCCATTTTACTGTACATTTCTCCAGTCGCTAAGATTCTCAACTTTATAAATATATATACGCGTTTTGCTACACTTGTACTGTTCCAATCACGCTGATAATTATTATCATGGACAATGCTATTCATTTTCGTCAAGTAATGCCTAAGTGTATTCATATTCTAATATTCTTCTTGTTATGTTTTCACCATATATCAAGTATTAACATCTCGTTAGTTTACTTCAAAGGCCGATAAAAGATGAGATTCACCTTGAGCCACCAGCTTTATGTATACCAATCTTTTCTATATATCAATGCAAGCAATGATCATTTCTAATTATTTTATAGGAAAATTATGTCACAAATTCAATATGTCATGTTATACGAAAGGAACGTATGACTAATTGAAATAGTTCATTAATGAATTAATATTTTTCTTGCAAGGCGTCACGAATTCTTGATGTTACGAAATCGAAAACAATATGGTGCAACAGAAAAAACACTTGTTTTCGAAAAAATATTAGAACCAGGAAAACTTAAGAAATGTAGTACTAGAGAAATAGATAAATGCAAACAAAGTTTTTTATCCAAACTGTTGGTAATTCGTTATAGAATTTGTTAGTCATTAGTCAACCACCTACACATAAATATAATCAGTAGAAACAGCTTGTCTTCATCCACATGGTGTTTTCAAAGTTGAGTCATTTAACAATTTATTGAACTCGTCAATTAAATGATTGGATTGGATGAGATTCTATTTTCACAGAAAATGTTCAAAATTGTTTTCATTCGTTCGATTAATGTTTCGTTCCTATAAACTATCATCAACTTTATTTTTTCTCATGGGCGCTACATTAGATTCTTTCAGTTTTGAATAGAACCAGATTTTACCATTTCAATTATGTATCATAAGTTATCATTCTTTTTCGAAAAATTGGAGATATTGAACAAAATTAATTCTTATCATATGGTAGGCTTTGACTTTGATGTTTCTAAATTTCACTTTCAATTTGATACACTCAATGACATATTCTTATTGTACAACTAATTGAATTTTTGGCAAAAAATGGCTTTCACGAATGAATAAAAAAGAGATATGATACACATTTATTACAAATACGATATATGACTGAAAGGTTTGGTGATAAATGGATAGGGAATAATAGGCCGGTGAGGTGGGCAGCAAGGTCTCCAGACTTTAGTGTTATGGATACATTCTTATGGGGTACACTGAAAAATAGAGTTTATGGCCAGAGGGTATATCAAAATATTGAGGACCTTCAACACAGCATTGTTAGAGAGTTCAAAAGATTGAGGAGAAGGGAAATTAATCGTGCAGTGAATAATATTCGAAGAAGGGCACAGTTGTGTAATCATGAACAAGGCAAGCATTTTGAGCATTTGCTGTGATTTACTTTTGTCTTTATATTTTAGTTAATTATTGTTATTTGTTCAAAGTTATATTTTCATGGAAAATGACACAATGTCTAATTAACCTCATACACACCTCACTTATCAAATTTTGATTGTTGATTCTCGTATTTTTTTCATTGGCTTTTCAAACGAATCAAACTCGGTAAGATTTTAATCCAATAACTTGAACATAATTTGATGTGGTTGTCGCCTTTCGGGATACAAGTTTAATTACATTTCCGATGTCCTAACACTGTTTCTATAGTATTTGTGATACATTTGTATCATATCTCTTTTGTCTTCATTCGTGAAAGCCATTTTTCGCCAAAAATTCAATGACTTGTACAATAACAAAATGTCATTGAGTGTAACAAATTGAAAGTCAAATTTAGAAACATCAAAGTCAAAGCCTATTATGATAAGAATTATTTTTTTCAATATCTCCAATTTTTCGAAAAAGAATGATATCTTATGATACATCATTGAAAAGGTAAAATCTGGTTCTATTCAAAACGGAAAGAACCCAATGTAGCGCCCATAAAAAAATAAAGTTGATGATGGTAGCCGGAAAAAGTGGCGATGTGAAAGTGCAATTTATTTTCGAATCCTTCGAAAAATAAAGCCAGAAGAAATAAAAACCATTTTCCGAAATTTCTGTTTTTTCCTGATATACTCGGAATTTCGGAACTTCATCAATGGCATATTGTTAGTCAGGTAAATGAGCAACTTTGCAATTTAGCCGTCTTCGTATCTCTCATAGTTTTCGAGATCCCTATGGTGAGGATCGAATTTGAAACACCCTGTATCTAGAGGACAATCTGACGGTGATTTACATTTGAAAATTTTTCGTAACCTCATTCACCCACATATTCAATAAATTGTGATGAATTCGAAAATCCAGTTGTTTTGCAACACAATGATGCGCCCCCTAATTTTTTTAACTTGTTGAATCATACATACCCAAGCATGTGGATTGGTAGGCGCGGTCCGTTACAATGGCCTTCTCGTTAAGTGGATTTGACTTTTCTCGATTTGTTCCTTTAGGGCTATTTCAAATCTAACTTTTATGTTACGCAACCTGGTACAATTCGGAAATTTAAACAAAAATACCAAAACTTGTGCTAGCATTACCACGGAAACATTCCATAATTTTATAAATGAGTTCGAAAATATACTGTTTTACTGTCTGGTGGTTCAAGGAAAACGTTTGGAACATTCGCTCAAATGATTGGTTAATGTATAAGATAAATAATAACGAGGTTACAATAAAATACTATCGTTTTATGTCTTCGAAATCAACATTTATCTATTATAAAAGATGTTACTGATTCATTTCTCTTTCCAATGAACGTTGAAAAATTGAAATACCTTTCGTGAGAAATGCCACAATACCCCTCTTTCCACTAAAAAAAATTGGTTGCACCCTTTCGGCGCAAACTAATGTCACATGATTGGCTTTTTTATCAAAAAGTCCTGAAAATGGTTCCTTTTTACAAAAAATGTATCCGACTCCAGAATCTTGCCCTGCACGAAATGTCTGCACTGTATATCAAAAACCTACTTTTCAAAAAAAATCCTTGTATTTCGGACATTTGGACATTTTCAATTACAATTGCAATATTTGACTTTCTCTAAACTAAATGTGAACTGATCAACTTGTTATCATCTTCCCCGGGTATACGAAACGATGATTACAAATCTTAACATCAAATTGATTTTGAAAATTCACTCAAAATAAAGTAAATAAAAGTAACAAAATCAAAGTATTTTTCTTTAATTTTTATAAATTATCCAATAACTGCAGAGAATAAATAGTAATATCATCTTCAACAAACACAAAATATATACATCTTATTTACATAAAACAACAATAAAATTAACAAATCGAAAACAACCTACAAGTTATTTCTTAAAAGGGGGTTCCAACTGAATAGAAGGCCTAAAAATATTTTCCTGCAATTGTGACGCATCTTGATAGTTGTCCTGCTGAACCTGTCGACCGCTCTTAAAGCTGGGATGCTGCGGCAAATGCAGAGGAAGCTGCAAATCGCTCTGGCCAGGCTGTATGGAACCACCCTGCCTAGTGTCTTCCACATCACTCGGCTGTTGATAGAAGTAACCTCGATTATCATCTTGCTCGCCTATTTGGAACTGTCCCTGTCTGAAAAAGTGCTGACTGCTCACTTCACTGGCTGGCTGGTAGTTTACTTGCTGATCCTGCTGATACTCGTTCTCAGAACTCTGATCATAGTTATCAGGGCGGATCACCTGAACATTGATTTCGGGCTGTCGATTTCCTTGCGTTGGTATATGTTGGACATTATTCTGGGGAGATGTCTGCTGAACATTGTCATGGGGCAACCTTTGCTGGAAATTACCCTGACCAATCAGAAATCTCCCGTCATCTATTTGAAAATGTCCTTGCTCTGTTTGGATATTACTTTGTCCCTGGGGCAACTGAAAATGCCCCTGGTCTGTAGGAAAATTACTTTGCTCCTGAGTCAACTGGAAATGCCCCTGATCTACTTGGAAATGACCTTGACCCTGAGGTAGCTGTTGCTGAAAAACGTTTTGCCCGGCAGCTTGAAATTGGGGCTGTGTATCCAGAGGCAGCTGCTGCTGGTTTGGGAAAATTCCATTAGTACCAGGTACTACAGGAACATCATGCTGATCCTGTGGAATCTGAGGATAGTGCAAGTTATAGTGATTCGGTAGCAGAGGATGTGCAGCATTGACAGCAGCTTGTGGAACTGTAGGCGTTTGTCCTCTCAGCAGGTTGATGAAGTTTGTAGAGCCATGATACTGGACTTGGGTAACTGCTGGATGAAAAGGAACTGCAGGTCGCCCAGAAGCAACTGGATGTACCCCTGCTAATGGATGTGTAGGAACTATAGGTGAAGCAGGAGCTACATGATGCACAGGAGCCACAGGTTGCGCAGGAAATACTGGATGCGCAGGTATTACAGACTGAACAGGAGCTACAGGATGAACTGGGTGTACGGGCTGGAGATGCTGTGAGGGATACAGGGGCTGCGAAATCAATGCAGGCTTGAATTGTGGGGCAGGAACATCTCTAAGTACAGGGCTTTGGAATACGGCACCAAACGGTAGTACCCCTAGGTCGGGCTTAGTAACTTCAAAAATCTGAGGCGACGGTAAAAACGTAGCTGGTACTGGCTGCAATTGTTGCACCGGTTGTAATTGTTGAACTGGTTGTAGCTGCTGTACTGGCTGAAGATGTACAGGTTGTACCTGTTGTACTGGCCGCACCTGTTGTACTGGCTGCACATGACTAAAATGAACTGGTACTGTTTGCACCGGTACTGGCTGCACTGGTGTAGGATTTACTGGTACAGGGTGTACCGGTGCTGGATGTACGGCAACCGAGTGTACAGGCGTTGGAACTACGTGAACGTGGTCTACATGTTGGACTGGCACAGAATGCACGTGCTGAACTGGAGCGGGGTGTACGTGAACTTTATGTTCGTGAGGTAGTTGATGAATATGATCCACATGCACCGCCGGTATTTTTTCTACGTGATCGATATGAGGAACAGGGTTCAAATGAAGATGATCTTCGTGTACAGGCCTAGCCGGTTTGGTCAAAAGATGAGCCGGAGGCGGCACATGTATCGGAACAAAAGGCCTCACTAGTTGTGGCAGAGGTTTAACCACCGGTCTCCAATCTGAGTGCAAAGCAGGTCTCACTTGCGGTATGTGTATAACTGGTTTTCTGAGGTGAAGATGGATTTTTGGTTTGTTATAGTGGTATCCTGGGTGTCTGATGGATATCGGCCGCAATACTGGTCTGTATTTCAGATCAACTGCACCGTAGCCTATCACGTATTTTTGTCCGGTAGGTTTTACTCCTACGTGTTTAGCCCATGCGTAGTTTTGTATGGGAGGGTTGAAGATGGTTCTTTTGTCTTGGTCTTTGGTCGTGGTGTCGGAATCTTCGTCATTCAGTGGGTTCAAACCATCTTGGTGAGAGTTGAGTTGTTGGAGATCGGAACCCGAGAAGACAACTTTCACGAAAATAAACAGGATGATGACACTGATCTGAAATGAAACAGTATCTAAGTTTGAAAACTTCGAGATCTATTTTTTAGGACATGCACAGATTTCAAAAACATTTTCCACGGTTTTTTCCGGAAAAAATATTATTCAGTATAACCACCAGTGTATTGGTGGTTAAACAGTTTTGTTTGGAGATGAGCATACCCGTCAAAAAATTAGGTTAACGAAATCAGTGCATGCATCAAGTCTATAATTGAAAAACATAATAATAATGATACCGACCCAGTGGAGGATTGAATAGACCCTCTCACTTTTGACCATCCCCCTATTGAAAAAAAAAGGCGTATCCAATATAACTAGAAAAAATATGTGCCTTGATTAAATAATTCATGTTTAGGTCTTCGACTGAAATGGAGAAAAAAGTTATAAGGAAGTCAACAGTTCATATTGTATGGAGAAAATGAGATAACAACATTTTTGCAGAACTTTCTACGAAAACGTGACTTCATTCAACTTAACTAAATAGGCATGTGTTCAAAAATGTCAACAACACTCCAGTTTTTGTTTTGAGGCGATTCCAATTTCTATATGAAATCCATACCCAAACTACACCCCCCTGGCGAGTTTCAGCTACTACCCATATTTTTTACAATAGCTTGGAGGTCGGGTGATTGTTGGCTCAATTATCTCCACTAAAATTAGTTCATTTGTTATTGAAGAAACAACTATGAAGAGCTATCTACTCTAGAATAATTACTTATTACTTAAGGTGCAATCAGATACTGTATTCTAGTTAGATTAAACTACTTGAAAAGACTGGATATAATTCTTAATTCACCAGTAAAAATATGTCAATAAATCAACTATATCAACAGGTAATCATAAATTATGAATAATCATGATTATAAAGTATAATAATCTGGTGAGATCACCTGGTGGGAATAAATTCAGTAAAATATAGTTATTCAAATCTATTTAAGTCATTCATTAAGATGATATAAATTTCCGAATCTATTAATTTCCTAATTTCCAGAAGATTAAGTTTCAAATCTCATGTCTATCAGGTGGAGGAATAAATTCAATAGATATTTCTATGTATATGTGTACAAATCTGTTGAATTGTGATATTGTTGATTGTTAATGTATCTATTTTTTATTTGTGACGTATCCTATATCATGCTATATGGGATCTGAAAATATTGCATGAATATATTATTATATATTATTACCAAAACATCCCACAAGTACTGGAGATACGTTTATGACATTTTCAAGGTTCGGAATCAAAGTTGTGACAAACAATTTCACACTAAAGATTGAACAATACTATACAACTCTCCATCATAAAACAGACACCTACTCTGCAAGTCAGTTTATCTCTGTAATTCTAAGTTTGGATTGCATTTAATATTTCTTATCTTCAGTCATTTTATAAAAATCTATTCCCAAAAGCATAATTCAAACACGTGTATATACTGCATTAATTATGATAATGATTGTGATTGTACTCAAATATAAATATTAATATCGCGATTTTTTCAAGGACAAACCACAAGCACTACAGGAAAATCCTCAAGACGCTCTAAGAGCGGTGGCTGTGCGAAATTCGCGATTTACATTGGATTTGAATCGCTGGAGATTAAATCCATTTTGAAAAACGTTATCCGGAAGTTTATTCCACAGAAAACGGAGTTTTCCAAATAAAAGAGTTCTTAATCAGTGAAGTTCATGTATTGCCATGGCCAGCACAATCACCGGACCTGAATCCCATCGAGCATGTGTGGGACATGCTCCAACGAAGAATTACTCCGCATATGGGGAACATTCATACAACGTTTCAATTGAGAGAGCTTTTAATCGCTGAATGGGCAAATGTACCTCAACAAGACATTGACAATCTCATTTTGTCGATGCACGATAGATGTAGGGCCGTAATAAACCAGACGATGAGCAGCCACAGTCCGTGGCGTATTTCTGTTATGTACCGCTCTTGGTGGAATCAAATGTGTCAAGTCACTTGAACTCTTTCCGTGGAAGTATCTATAGAAGAGTGACAAATCTCCAACCTTTCTTCGATGTTCCAGACTATTAACGTTGCAAGTGATGTTCACGTCTCCTATCAGGCGGATGGCTCATTTCTGGATGGAATCCAGTAGCTTTAGGGTATGCTTAGGGACGGAGCTCCATACTTGAGAACAATACTCCAAAGAAGGTTTGATCTGAACTTTATAAAGCATCAAAAGTTGCCGAGGTGTGTATAGTTTTCTGGTTCGGAACAGTGTTTCAAGCTTTTGAGAAGCGGTTTCTACAACTCCAGCGACATCATTGTACCAAGACATATTGGTGTATATTTTAACCCCCAACAAACTTATCGAAGCAGAAAGCGAAGTTGTCTGACCTGACATTATTATATCCGGTTCGGAGACATTTATCTTTTTGGTGAAAGCCGATGCCTGGGTTTTTGTGGCGTTGAAGTGAACCTGGTTATTTTCACCCCAATTCGAAATTACTTCTAGTTATTCATCAAGATATGCAACCTCCTGCTGCCGGTGAAGATGTGCATCCGCCGCCGATGTCCCGGATTCCAAATGGAATGACGAAACAAGTGTGCTGTCGTCAGCAAAGCGATATATCGGATTCTTCGTTTTTTCCAATAAGTCGTTGATATACAATAGAAAGAGAGTTGGAGACAATATAGATCCCTGGAGAACACCAATGTTGATGGTAAAAGTATTCGAGAGATATCCGTCGACGGCCACTTGCAGAGAACGTTCTTTCAGGAAGCAATTACATCAACTTTCACAATTACTAATCAGAACTCTATTTGGTGAATTGAGTCCCTCTTTCTTTCTTTATATTGTTTTGAATCGTGCTTTCTTTCAAACAAAATTAATAAAAGATCTTCCTCAAATCTAAGGAGACTTCGTTATCTCAGAGATATTTACTTTCACGAATTTCATAACGAATATGGAAAAATCTATAGAGGAATTGTCAAGGCAACTAAAATGAACCATTTCCATATCAGGATATCCAAAAGTAATGGAATCATGAAAGAAACTTAGCATGTGTTAAATTTATTAACAGCAACTTTGCTATCGATGCTTTGTTAATTACATTGATCCATTGCAGAGAGACTTAAATACAAACATCGGAAAAGTCTAGGGATATTTTTATAACATACTAAATATCATAAAAATAAATGCATGAGGTCGTTTCATTTCGATTAAATTGGTACACTCGACCACCCTGTAGATTTCTATGGGTTGAACAAAGCCTGCAAAAACGGTAACTAATCTTTTATCAAGTTTTTTACAAACTGTAGGTTTTCGGCTAAAATGAATAATCTGAAAGTGTCGAGTTTGTACATTCTATGCAGTTCTTGCTCAGCAATTAAACTGGAAATATTGTGCTTTAACATGGAACGCCATCACTTACCATTGGCTGAGATGAATAGAGNAAAGTGAGAATATTTCCTATGGAATTTGTAATTGAAGTTTTGTTTTCTTGAGGTATTTTTTTTGAGTTTGTATTCCTTCAACACTTTGTATTATTCGTATCTAAATAAAGTCATTAAAAATATTAAGTAGTTTCAATGATTTGCTAATGAAATGTTCTGATGGTACTGGATGGAAACAGTAGTATTTATAGATTTTCGAAATAATCGAACAGTTGTTTTCATTATCATTATAGTTTTTATTTTTCGTTTTCAACGAACCCCAAAAAATAATCATTCACAAAAATGGGGCAGATCCAAACATGATGTTGGCGATATCTACACCCATAGATCAAAAATTAATGAAGGAGGCTCGGAGTGTGGAGTTTAACCACCATCTCTGTCTTGTTTTAAAATCTGTTTTTCCGTTAAACAGTTGTCGCACCCTTACGAACGACAACACTCAAACTTGTGCGAGCTAAGGACTAACAAGGTCTTACCTTTTAACGTGTGATTTCTAACACGTCCTAGCCGATTCAAAAACGTAAGAGCATTTCACTGTATTTGCAGATGATACACCTTTGCTCTTGTTCATGAATTTTAATATTTCAAAAGCTATTAGTTTTGTCTTTCTATGTTTCTAACAAATTTTCAATGATTAATTTGGACATTGGGGTCAGTTTCCAAAATCATGTCATTGATTTGATTAGTAAACTATCTTCAGGATGTTATGCTACACCTACACGTAATGAATCAAATGAACAAGAAGAAATGAATAGTTTACCACGCATTGTTTGAATCACACGTTCTACAAAAACGTATCATTTGATATATATTTGCAAAGAAGTGTCAGAAATATCTCGTGAATTTATTCAAAGAATAATACCATCTCTTCTCACCCATGAAACTATGTGTCTGGTGCATGAAAATAAAGTCCAATGTGAGTTAGTTTTCAGTTTCACCGTCAAAATAACAACTTGAGATTACCCTGTACTTCAATTTATTTCACAAAAAAATATATAAATTAACAATACAGCTGAAGTGTATAATTATCTTTCTGTAAATAATGAAAAAATTAGATCTATTGACACTATTGAAATATTTTCCTCATAGAAACCATTCTACGATGTTCACAAATATTTCAATAAAGATTTAAGGGGTTTGTCCGCTTTGAGGTGAATTATTTACATTCAGTTCATCTGTTCCCCTGAGATTTACATATGTATTGTATTTGTAAATATGTATGTATAAATGTTACAGTATAAATTGTATTTTTCAACAATTTCTTCAGAATTTCAACAAAATTTTTTAGGAAATGAATAGGTATTTATAAATTACTTCGACAATAAGATATTATCTTTAGACATTGAAATGATTGAATTGGAAAGAGATAATACAAGGTTATTCTTCAAAACAAACATGAGAAATATTCATATCTCCAAAACGTCAATGAAATATCTTACAAATTTCTGAAATATTTTTTCTTCAAAAAATACCTATATTGATGTTTACACAATAACTCGTCGTGGTAATTTACACGTTTGTCCTTTCTATACCTGTTTATGATTTCTACTTTTTAGCCTTTGAAAGCTGTGAAAATCCAAAAACTGTTAAAGAAAATCAAAATATTTGAATGCAAACTTCTTTGCAATGAATAGAATTCCATACTGAAAGAAAATTGCCTCAACTGAATTTTGACTGTGTTTTTTTTAATACTGACCAAGTGAGTATCCATTTTTTTGTACATTCTAATCCAAGACAGAAAACTAAACTATCACCATCACTGTCACTATCAAATAAACAAAATTGTCACTTTCTTTTTGTTTTTATACCGGCCTGCAAGGTCCTACGAGTTTTGTATATTAAATAGATAGTTAAAATATTAATAGAATAGCAATGTCATTGACGAAGAAAGTACTTGCCAATTCTGGATGCACTTAGTGGCTTAATTGCAAAGGAGCTGTGGAATAATAATCAACTCGATTGCATTTACATGGAAAAATTTGCGAATTTCGGTAAATTTCAGACCGCTTTCTATAGCGTGGTGAGATTATTGGGTATTCTGTTTGAATTTCTTGAAATAATTATCTCGAACGAACGTTTTAGAGATCTAAACTTGACACGAATTATGGATGGACTGACCCATTACTAGATGAAAATCAAGTATCCATTATTATCTAACTAAACAATATTCACACTGGGAAATTTCATCTCAATGTGACGAAAAATTATATTCATTTAAATAATTACAATAACAGTATAATGTCATTCTTGGCTCACTGCGATTGCTCAAGGCACATGATTCTCGGACCCAATGATCACTTACTCCACGGTGTGGGGCGTGGTCATTGGTTGATAATGCTGGCGCGCCCTCCCGATTGTATCGGGGCTTCAGGGGATAAGGCCTGACTAGCGCACACTACGGGGAAAGAATAATAGTAATAATAATTCTTGACTCACTGCGCTTGCTCAGGCCAATGAATCTCGGACCCAATGATCACTTACTCCACGGTGTGGGGAGTGGTCATTGGTTGATAATGATGGCGGGCCCTCCCGAATGTATCGGAGCTTCGGGGGATAGGGATGATATGTTGATTTCGTTGACGTATATCATATTCATGTGTGGGTAATTAAAATTTTTGTTCTTGGTGGTAATACATATTTATTTTCAGGAAAAAGAGTTGGTAGACGTCAAATACATGACGATCCGCATAGAAAGCGTTAGATGGAAAAATGGATTCTTTTTCAAGATATTTTTTAAAAACCGTCTTTGAAGGACTTCCATAGGATATAAATGAGTTTTTAGGGCACCACCCCATACTCGTATCGAAGATGGCTCTCAACAAGGGCATGATACAGTGTTTTTACTTGCTTTAGTGATAGTGAGGATGAATTCATGTCAATCACTAATCACTGATTACTCATACGAATACATTTATCATTCCCGAAGAAACGGAATGCAGAATGCATGAGTGAATATCCGATTTCAGTTTTTTCCTTGGAAGGAACCGAATCGTGAAATATTCTAATAAACTCGATAATTCGATTGGTTCCACTTGAAATTGGTGTTATTTCTTTCAACAGAAGTTTGATTCATTTTGACGGTGTGCAATATCCAATTGGATAACCTTGAGTTTTTTACCCACCGTTATAGATATTTCACCGCTGTATGTGTTTGTTTTATGGAAAACTAGTTGTTGCCCGCGGCTTCGTCCGCGTAGAATTCGGTTTCGTGACAGACCATTTCAAACAAATAGTTACAATATTTTTTTATCAACCCAAAACTTTTCCAACTTCAAAACTGACGAAACTCAATACTATCTTTGAATCCCTATTTTCCCCCTTAGGGTGGAAATTTACGCTATTATTTACGCTATATAAAGAACCTACATGAATATTTCAAGATTCTAGGTTCATTAGCTTCGGCTGTCCATGAATATAAGAGCGAGCAACAGCTAGTAATTTATATTTTTACTTTGAAATTACAGTAACTAAAAAAATATGCCAACTGCACTAAGTAATGAATAGCTTCGAAAATCGAATCATGTTACCTATAAAGAAATTCACAAAACTAACACAACCGTCAACGACGTCTGCCCGCGTTCGGGTCGCATTCTCGGCGATGGCGCTACTTCGCTTAGACCGCCCCTCTACTCCCGCGCATCGTCCCGTCGTCTTACAGTAGACGCGATGCGTTATGGCTTACTACGTTGTGTCAAGTTAATCTTATCGTAATATTTAAACGATTCGTTCAAATTACTTAGTGTGAAAGTTCATCTATACTAAATACTTGAAACGACAATTGTATCGATTTTTATAAGAATTTGACAGATATTCTAAGATGTGCATTGTAAAAGAATTATCCAATTTAATTGTATTTATGGCTCAGTATTTTGCATATAGTGGCTACTACATAAGAAGTAGATAATTATGCCATTGCGGACTTTTATTTAGGACTATTCAAGATGAACAATCTTACGGTACATTATCTGCATGTAACTCCAACGGTATAAGCATCGCACGCCAAGGTAAGCTCTCAGGAGGCAAGAATTTTTCCGACTTACTTGTTACTTATATTATGACCAAAATAACACAACACCTTTATAAATTGTAGCCTATATGTTATTCTGATGTATAAGCCGTATTTATGTAAAGTTTCATCTGAATCCGTTCAGTCGTTTAGGCGTAAAAGAGCCACAAACATACATACATACATCCATCCTCACAAACTTTCACATTTATAATATCAGTATAGAGTATTAATATAAATTATACAAATTTCCCGATTGTTTTGATCTTTAATTGTTAGAAGCTACATGAACATACATTTTTAATTTCTCATTATTATTATTTGAATACTAATGCAAACGATGGTTTAAAAAAATGTTTAAAAAATGAATGCATGAAAAAACATTCGTTCATTCTTTTTTTGCGGAAAATGTAAATATTAGAAACCGTTTTTAATAAAAAAATTATTATTTTTACTTTTCTTTTAATTTCTAGAGG